AAGAGGAGAAGAAGAACGGCAGAAATGAATATTCGTCGTCACAACAACAGACCGACAAATCAGCTGATGTGAGTGACGTCACTATGAAAGCCACCACACTGACATCGAATGAACATACGACTGGAGTCACAGACATCGCATCACTGCCTCTAACAGCTGCGAGTGAAATAAATATGAATGATTCTATTCTTCAATTAATGCGAATGGTTCAACAGAATAATCCATTAATAATTTCACAACACGATACATTAAAATTAGAAATACAATCTGAAATGTCAGAAATAAAATCTGAAATGTCAGAAATAAAATTACAAAATGATAATTTAAAATCTGAAATTCAGCGTGAAATTAAACAGTGCCAGATTTCCCTTGAAGAAAAAATCACCTCTGTTAAAATTAACCAAGAAAACATGCATAAGGAAATGGATCAGATACAAATAACTCAAATTCAACTTTCCCAAGAGTTCCTTACAATGAAAGAATGAAAGAAACATTTAAATCAGAAATATATGATCGTGATACCAAAATACGTGAAGATTTAATCCAAGACCTAGAAGAACAAAAATACGAAATGGAGTCCATGATAATCCAAAATAATTCTCAAACTCTTGAAAAAGTGAATATGGAAATACAAAAACAAAAGTATGATACTCGTACACAGATAAATCAATTCAGGTTGGAACATGAACAACTAATAACAGCAAAACCAGAACAAAATGCCTATGAAATACAAAAGTCAATGATCGTTATTGAAAATTAAGGTCAAGAAATATCAGCTATCCAACAGAATCTACAAAAACAAAGTGAGGAGATTATTATTGAAATAAAACAAAATATCACTAAACATGGACAAGTAACATCGTCCCCTCAAAATATCTATGTTACATGTAACGGAAACTCCGAATCGTGTCAGATATGACATTACCAAAATTCAATAGAACATAATCAGAACATGTCAGGTAGAGGACATAATCCGAACGAATTCATTGCTAAGCTGCACAAATACTATAAAAAGAGTATACTAAGGAAAGATCCAAATATTGACGACATAGAGTTTCTCATCGACCTGATTGAAACCAGCCTTGAAAATCACGCTGCACGTTGGTTCAACCTCGTAAAATGCGACATTAGAAATTGGGAACAATTCCAACACCTGTTTGAGAATAAATACTGGAGTCGAGACACACAGCGAGGGATAAAACAACGTTTAGAGACTGAAAAATACCGAAACAATGGACATTTGTCTCGATCAGAGTATTTCGTAGAACGTGTCCTCACACTACAATCATTGACGCCGACCCTTGATGAAGAAGAAATAGTGGATTGTTTGTGCGAACATTTCGAAGAACTCATCCAAAATGCACGACGCGTCCAAAATGTAAAGACCATACAAGAATTTGAAGCTCTATTACTAAGAGAAGACATCAAAGAACAACAAAACCGAAACCAACCAGCAAAACCGACAATTCAAAATAACAATCCACAAAATAGGACCAATGACCATCCGAGGAGAAACTAAAACCACCGAGATTCATACCAAAAGGATTGGAGGGGATCATACCCAAATAGAAATAATTATGACAACAGTGAGTAATCAACAACAGTAACAACAGTAATGACAACAGTAACACTCCAAACAACCATTATCCACGTCAAATACCTCAATCCAACGATCAATCCTACGAAAGACATCAAGACCGCAGAATTAATTATCCACCACCACCAGAAAACCAACACAGATTTAATCTATTCTAAAATAATATTCTAAAATGAAATAGTATCTAGGTAGGAAATATTTCTTTTGTACTGTCCAGTGTCCAGGTGTGAAGTAGCATTGTTGGAAGAAAAGCTAAAACAAAGGAAGAAAATGTGCTTTTGGTGGAAGATATAGATAGAGATGGATGTGGGAGCCAAGTCTCCAGTGATTTAAATATTCAAAAGCCTATAAAATTAACATTCAGAACATATATAAATATTGATTATAAAGAGACATTAAGAAAGAAGATAATAACTATTCAACAAAAATTGGTAATATCAACTTCAATAAACATTTTAAAAGCCATCATCAATTTTCAACCACCATCACACCATTGTGAATAGAGACTAAATTCAAGTGACTTTCAAACTAAGAACTTATAGCCTAAATTTTTGACTCTCATTATTAGCCTATCTCATATTATTTAGCCTACATTAGTACTGTATAAATGAAGTTAATTAGCCTATCAGAATTTCATACCCGGCACGAACCAACCCCTAGATTAAGATCATTGCTTTTAAAATTGTTATCTAGCCCATCCAAAACCTAGACCAAACTATAATTTAACCGTCATAGCCCCTTGAGATTGTTGAATTATAAGCTATAGAACCTAAATATATCTTATTGTAACTTTATTGGAATTTTATTATCTATTTTAGATAAGTTTATATTTAAAAAATCCGTTAATAAAGAGGAGTAGGTTGCAAACATAATTTTATCTTTGATTTTTTTAACCGATCATTATGTAACTTGGTATGTATGTTGAGGTAAAATAGACTCTCTAGAAAAAGAATTATCTTAATCCAATTACAAATTTCAAAATGGCGGCTATTGAAATTTTTTAAATTGAAATTGCAAAAAATAGCTAATTTTATGAAACAATGTCTATAAAAATTTTGTTTAGCTTTTAAAATGATGAAAATAATAAAAAAAGAAATATCACGATTTTTAGTTGTAAAATGAGGCAAACCTGAATCGAGCAGTTTTGCTAGCCTTGATTATAATAATTTTACAACTAAAGATCGTTATATTTTAGTTATTTTTTATTCAATCTTTTTTAGCTTGGTGTCGTTTGATAGGGAATCTAAATAAAAGTGTTCATGAATTTTTTTCATAAAATAAGCCATTTTTTGCAATTTAAATTTAAAATATTTAAATGGCCACCATTTTAAAAATCTTTATTTAAGACTAAGATATTTTTTTCTTCTAACGTGGGTCTTATTTTACCTAAATATTCATGTTTCATAATAATCGATTGAAAAATTTCAAAGATAAAAATGTTTATGTGAACAAACAAAATGCGGATATCTGGTTAACAAAGCGATTTTGGAAAAAGTGTTATTCTTGATTTTGTCTTTATTTTGACTCAAAGAACCATTTCCCGGTATCAATTTGTTCAAAATGTAGATTAATTTTGTAATTCATTGTACAGGGTGGGGCAATGAGAACGCCACAATTTTTTTTAGCTGTCACATGTTAATTGTTGCAACAACGAATGATCAGCTGTGCTTAAAACATAAATTAAACTATGCCATTTTAGTAAATATTATGCCCGAGGCTATTAACACTGAGATTTTGATGTGCAAACCTATTTTTAAAATAGTGGTTCTTGAGCAAAAACCATCCAGAGATTGTTTGGACCACATTCCATCCTTGGTCAACATGGCACTGTTCCAGATTGGAAAACAATGGTGAACTGGGTAAAACTATTTAGGATAAACGCTTAAACCTAAAAAATAATCGGTGGGTGCCGCAAAACTCTTTGTACACCAGCAAATGTTGAAAGAGTGCGAGTCGCAGTAACTCAAAGTCCAAAGAGATTTGCCAGGAAGCTGTTGTTGTTGAAAGCTTTACGTTGGCTCCTTTTTTGGACAGGGGGGGTTTCTAATAAGCTACTTGAAGTTCGAGGTTTTTCAAAGTCACCCCACAGATTTTCTTGAACCGAAGCTAAGAATTGTCCAAAAACTAAAGTGATTCCTGAAGAAATGCTGGAGGAGTATTAGATGGAGTTTTCAAGTGCCTAATGTCAAGAAGGACAAGGACGTCACTTGCAGGATTTCGTTCTCAAGAAATGGAAAAATGACTTTGTTAAGTTAAAATGGCAAAAGATAAGCTGTGTTTTGATGTGCTATTTATATCCATAGGGTGAATATTATTGAGTTTGTACTGCTTATAAATTGGGGCGCTTTCATTGCCCCACCCTGTATTTGTTCGAAGGAAAACGCACTGTTTTTGAGGTATTTGCGAAAAAGTAAAAAAAGTCCTATTTTCACCCCATTTTCTTTAAACCCTACTTCCCAAATCCGCTACTCAAATCAGTGTAACTTTTTTACACATATTAAGGGAGGTATATTGAACAATTTGGCACTCATTAGAAACTTTTTCTATGGGTGTCCATGGTTTTTCTCCATTAACAAATATTTTTTTGAATTTTAAGAAAAAATCACATTTACACCCCAATATCTCCTGAACATTTCATAGTAGATTGATATTGCATGGTATCATTTTGTTCGAAATTTAATGTAGATTATTTTTGTAATTCATTGTACTTTAAGAAAAACGCACCGTTTTTGAGGTATTTGCGAAAAAGTAAAAAAAAAGTCAAATTTTCACCCCCTCTCCCCCAAACCCGACACTCAAATCAGTGTAACTTTTTATTACATATTGAGGGAAGTGTATTCAACAATTTGGCACTGGTTTTCAACTTTTTTTTGGATGTCCCGGTTTATGTCTTATTGCACCATACTATTGGTTAACCTTCAGTAGTCACATGTTTTAATAACTTTGGTGTTTGGATATTAGACTTCAATTTAATAAAGGCCATTTTAGCTAATTTTTTTGTTCATATTGGTAATAAAACACAAAATTATGTCTGGCGAAAAGCTAGTATTATATCATTGTGGTGTTAGTAGCCTCCGGATTGCGAATAATAACTAGTGATAGTGGTTTAAATACCTTATTCTTGCAATCCGTATATGTGTGCGCACTATGTGTTTATTCGTCGTGTGTTTGTGTAAATGTAAAAAACTGTTACTGACGACCTTCATATGAAGTAATATCATCCTTGTACACACCTGATGATGACCTCCTAGCAGGTCGAAACTAGTTGTGAAGACAACAATCGGATTGCAAGAATAAGGTATTTAAACCACTATCACTAGTTAGTATTATTATGTTATTAGTATTATTAGTATTATTATTATTATTAGTATTATTTAATTAGTATTATATTGTAAGCACTTACTGAACCAATCCTTCCACTCAGACTGTCCCTGCAGCTCAGGAGTGAGGCGTGTGAAGAACTCTGTTACTTTGTCTGCTTTGTTGTTGCTTACAGCATTCACAACATACAGCTTTAGAATGGAGCTTTCCAGTTTACGAATAGCTGAACAGAGAGTTTTGAATCAATAATTTACAGTCAACCATATAGCCCAGTAAATAAAGGTTTTTTATTGCAACTAAATGTTGGAAAGTTGGATTTGTAATATACTATGATAGAACTACATAAGATGTGTGTTTTCCCATCAGTCCACGATTCATTCCTTGAGCTCCCCCCCCCCCCTTCCAACCTGGTAATTACAGTGGTTCACTTTATTGGCTAATTCAAATTCTATATCATTTTTCAGTTTGTTGTTATTATTTTTTATGAGTTTATCTACAAATTTTGTTCCAAAAGAATTCTTTTAAACTAGTATTTATAACCCAGTATTTTGTTATCAAAAGCTGGATCTCCTTTGCATGAAATGGGGTAGTAGGTTTTTTTTATGTTGTTTTTGAGCCCGAGATGCTAGATCCAAATTTTTGACCTCGATGACCTTCTGGATTACAGCCGAAAAGCGTAAAAATTGATGGAATTCAGCACTTTTTTAATGTGGGACCGATTTTGACACTTAAAAATAATAACTTTTTCATTAAAACAACTGTTATCATTTTATAAGTTAAACTAGAGAACCCGTGCGGCTCAATTAGCCGCATAGTATTAAACATAACTCCGAGGAAAACGTTATGCTTAAATTTGAGTAATTCTAGTTACATCTTAAAGGTGTTTAAACACTTGTTAGGAACTAATTTTAAATATCTCTATTTGCGTTGTAAAAGGTTCACCTACATTATTTCTGGTCTCAGTTTTAACTGATAACTTCTAATGAATGCTAAACGATCTGCTTCAATTCGAGTGAAAATGTTACAACAAAGTTGTTCCAACATTGAGAATTGAAGAAAACTGTTGCCTTCCTGATAGCCTGTGTTAAGTAATTTAAGTTTGGGTCATTTTATTTCTTTGATTTGAGACTTCCCTCTAATCAAACAAATTTTCTCCGTAGAGAATCCTGTAAAGTTGGGTGATATCAACCATTTCATGTGCTCCTTCTTTTACCCACAAACTCTGGGTTACTAACTGGACAGCCAAAATCTGCTTTGAATAGGCTAAAGCAGCAACATCATTGAAAGTTGGTTAACCTATTTTAACGTATTGTCTGTCAGTCACAGTGTCTTTTCTAGTATTCGTGGTCACATTATATGCCCCACATCAGAACGTTCTCACGTTGTTCAGTGGATTTCCTCTTTTTATACCTGTCCCAGTTTTTAAAGTATGGATTCATATGTCGAAATAGGTTGGATAACTCTTGTAGCTATAAAATTTGGATATAAATTTTTATTTTCTCTTTTTGAAAAGCGTATATTATTTGCCTCTCCTGAGTCATAAAAATAAACTTGAACGTAACTACTCGATCGTTAAATACATAAACACTAATTCCTTCACTTATGTTTGGTCTAATATTGCCACTACAACTTTCAATAGCAAATGAGTTTGTGAAACTTCTTATTTTTGACTTGGAATGTCTGGATTTTGCTGGTGAATTCAGTCAAAAAACTTTGTATAAGTTTGTCCGTGATACGGGCAACATAACCTAGAAGTAAACAATCCATTTGCGTTTTTCTCAATTGAAGTAGACCGAGTAATACAAAAGTTTACAATAAAAACATAAGGTCCGCAAAGATTTGGTATAATCTTACTACTTGAACTTATCATAGTCAAGGCATTATTATAGTTTCTAATAAATGTTTTGAAATATCTCGATCTGTCAGTGTCAGAAGTAAACATTTCTTGCATGCATTCACTTTATCTGTGATTAGGCAAGTTTACTTTACCACCGTGAAAACACCATGTGCTTCGTATATTTTTTTCACTTCCAAAGTAAGTTGTATAGCATAACTGTCAAATATTATTCATCTCACCAAGTGAATTTGAATCTGGATGGGTATCTGTTACACCAGGCCTCTCTTTTTCTACTCTCTCTCCTCATACGCATAAGATATCTTATTATTAATCGTCTCCTCCCGTTTTCAACATTTCTTCTTTGAACTTGAGACATTTTCTGTTCTTCCAACAAAAACTGATTAACTGTTTAACTTGGTCTTAACCGACTGAATATAAGAAACATTAATATTTACTCCCAAAAAGCTAATGAGTTTCTTTTTATAAAGTTTTTTTTTTTTTTTTTTTTTTTGTTCTGTGTATTTCTTATGGGGAAAACCCGACCTTTGAGAGGGTCTCACGCCCTTAAGAGTTTGATTTTTTAAATTTTAAAACCTTATTACAAAACTACATATTCAGACGAATCTTTTGACACCTTAAATGTTGAAATTGGTCCACAAATAAGGGAGGGGTTGCGTTAACAAAAAACGGCTTCACGTATTATATATATATATAGATAGATATATTATCTGTAATTAAAGACCAAAATGGTTATTAAAAAAGCCTAATAGTTCCAAAATTTGGCACGATTTTTTACGTTTGGCTAATTTGTACCCAACAGCATCACTTTTTCATAGAAACTACTACAGTATAATTATTTAAAAAGTAGTAAGTACAGTATTTAGCCTTATTGCCCGTAAACTTTAGGCTACTATTATGACGTTCATCCATTGCATGTGTTGTACATAGCGTTAACGATGAATAAAAATTCTTGATTCTTGATTCTTGACAGTACATCAAATTACCTACGATTTAAGACCAAAATGGTTATTATAGGCCTAACAGTTTGGGGAATATGGATCAAATGCTATAACTAGACGGCATGAAATTGCAAAATTTCATGTAACTCATATGTGTGAGCAATAAAAAGCTCACAATTTGACTTGTCTATCTCTAGCACAGGAAGTTGTGAAAACAATCAGTTTGACAGAGTACGAGGTGGATGACCTCGAAGATGTGCCATAAAATATTGACAAATATACCATTAAAGTCAAAGTCAAAGTCATCTTTATTGTCACAAAACGTTTTTTTTTTATGCTCTGGCACAGCCAGACAAAACAGGTGACATTGTCAAACTATACTAAAATAAACTAGCTTATATTGGTAAAAATAAATACATAGTAGGTAACAAAACAAACAATTCACATTGATTTATCTTCAAGAAATTGACCAATACTATAATAATTCTTTTCCAATAAAAATTCAAAAATTTTTTCTTTAAAAGATACTAATCCTATTATAGATTTGTAGTACCCAGGCAAATTGTTAAAAAATCTTTTACCCATATAAGAAGGTGTCCTTTCCACAAGATTTAATCTGTGTATAGGATATTGAAAATCTGTATGAAATCTAGTGTTATAATTGTGCCGATTATTTTCACTGTGGAGTTTTTCAAAATTTGATTTCACATACAATAAACATTTAAGAATATACAAATTAGGGACGGTTAGAATCTTTAGTTCTTTAAAAAGTTGCTTGCAAGAATGTTTTACGGGTTTAAAAGTCATAATTCTAAGTATTCTTTTTTGAAGTTTAAAAAGTTGATACGAATCAGATGTGACGCCCCAAAGCTCTATTCCATACTGTAAAATTGACGAAAATAAAGCGTGATAAATCATTAGTCTAGTGTTTAAATCAACAACATTTCTTAAGACCAACATTTGAAAACATACTGAATTTAACTTTTTAGAGGTGTTATGAATGTGATTCTTCCAATTCAATAAACTATCTACATCAATTCCTAAAAATTTAGCTGTGTTGCTAAAATTTATTTTTTCATTATCAAAATAAACAAAGCCTTCAAGATCGTCCCTACACTGTGCAGTTTGAAATTTTACTATTTGTGTTTTAATGTGGTTCATTTTTAAACCGTTTACTTTAAACCATTTTGACAGATCTTGAAGAGCTTGATTCAAGACTAAACTTAGTTCATGACTGTCTTTTGATTTAATGATGGCTGTCGTATCGTCAGCATATAACAACAAACTAGGTTTAACATTCTTAGGTAGATCATTTATGTACATCAAAAACAATAACGGTCCTAATATAGAGCCCTGAGGCACCCCCATAACAATCTTTTCCCATTCAGAAGCATACTTAATGTTTTCTTTAATAATAACTGTTCTTTGAAAGCGATCGTTTAAATATGATTTCAACCACAAAATAACTGATTCTGAGAATCTATAGGAGGATAATTTATCAAGAAGAATTTGATGGTGTACACTATCAAAGGCTTTGGATAGATCACAGAACACGCCAATAGTGCTCTGTGACCCATCCAAGCTCTGTGTTATTGAATTTACAAAATGAGCCACAGTGGAAGTGGTACTTCGATTTTTCCTAAAACCAAACTGTTCATCAGCTAATAAGTTATTAGATTCCAGAAAATAGGACATTTGATTGAATGCAATTTTTTCAAATATCTTTGAAAAAGAAGGCAGGACAGAAACAGGTCGGTAGTTATCTGAATTACTCTTAGAACCTTTTTTAAATAATGGCTTCACCTCTGCATACTTCAAATGATTAGGGAAAGTGCTATTGGTTAAAGTCTGATTGATGATTATGGACAATGGCTCAGCAACATACTTAATTACTTTTTTTATCATAGTAGTTGAAATCCCATCCCAACCAGCCGTTTTTTTATCACTTAGTGACTTGACTATTTTGATAACTTGCTGAGGTGTAACTAAACTAAAGTAAAAAATTGGAATATCAGGCCTATGTGTGATTGATTTTTTTACTAGTTCCATTGCCTTACTCTTGGAAAAATTTACCCCTAAATCCTTCCCTACCTCAATAAATTTAGAATTAAAGTGACTTGCAATAACTGTGCCATCTGAGACTAACTTGCTATCAATAACTAAATCAGGAAAAGAATTATTGATTGGCTTGTAACCAAGTTCGGCTTTAACCACAGCCCATGCTGCTTTAGTCTTATTACTAGCCTTATTTATATAACTACAATTATACATTTTCTTTGCTAGGTTACAAACAGATTTAAAAACTTTTTTGTACATTTTTACATAGCCAATAAAGTTAACATCAGTAGAACTCTTTGCTAAGTTGCTTAACATTCTTTTCTTTTGACTAGAAATTTGAATACCTTGTGTTACCCATTTTTTATTTACTGTTTTCTTTTTAATTTTAACAGGTTTGAAAGGGAAAGATTCCTTAAAAATTCTTTGAAAAGAACCAAAAAAATTATTACTGTTTAGAAAAAGGTCGTTATTTTTTGTAGTATTCCATTTCATTTTGCTGATAGAGTTTATAAAGTTATTAATATTTCTTTCAGAAAAAATTCTTTGCTTAAAAGAAGTGTGTAATTTTTGTCTATCCTCATCATTTCCCTGTAAAGAAATAAAAAGAGACCTGTGGTCAGAAAGACCAGTTTCAATATTCATACAGATTTTTGTATCAATTGGCTTAATTTTGAATGTTATGATATTATCTATGCATGAAATTTTGTTCGGCGTAATTCTTGTTGGTGATTCTATATTTATACCTAGACCAAAAATATCTAACAAATTCAAAAAATCCAATCTCTGTTGTGGAAAAGTACATGTATCTAAAATGTCAATATTAAAGTCACCTACAATATAAACATCCTTAAAACCTAGCTCTTTCTGCAGTAAAATAAACACATTTTCTAATCTATTTAAAAAAGTTCTAAAATTTGAAATACATGGAATTCTATAAATGGAAATAATAATTGCATTGAAACAAACTATCTCAATACAGCACATTTCAAAAACTAACTCATCACTGAATATACAAAGATCTTTTCTTTCAAAGAAATTCAAATTATTTTTTATTAATATACATGAGCCTCCATGAGCTGTATTTTCTCTACAAAAATGAGCAGCAACTGTGTAATTTTCTATACCGTTTAAAATATTAATTTGATCTTTTTTAAGCCAATGTTCATTTAAGCTAAGCACAGATATATTAGACTCAAGCAAAAGTAGGTCCAATTCATTTTTTTTATCTGTAATTCCTCCTTGTATATTCAAGTGCATTAACCATGCATATTTTTTACTTAACCTAGCCTCCTCACAGATAGGCCATACAAAAGATTTCTTTCTGGGTTTTCTGCTATTATTATTTAAAAAAGAACCATGATTTGAATTACACATTACGCAAAAGTTTTTAAAATTTATGTAATTGGTACCTGTGGCTTCACAGGGGAGTTTTTTTCAATATGAAAGCTCATGAAGATGAAAGGTGAAAGCTCTTCAAACTAAATTTAACGACACGCTACAAAGTATAGAAAACAAGACGGCCAACTTAAAAGCTGTGGATTAACTACTTTAGATTCTTTTAGACTAATGACATTGATGAAACAAAATTCATCCAAGCAGAGTGAATGGGACATCTGAACACCATACAAAAAATTATACCGTTCTTCCATGCTAAAGGTTACTTATTTTATGCCAAGTGTGCACATCTGTACCTGTAAGATATATTGAAATTAGGAAACAAGATGAATTCCAGTGAATACCAGCTATTTACAACCAACCGGTTCTTCACCTTTAGGTGTTCTGTAAAGTTCTGGTCGGGTGTTTGGACGGACATGACTATAGAGCAGATGATCATGTGCTCAATAAAAAGTACTGAGGGGCATCGGCAAAAGAGCTTGTGCGGGCTACTTAAAAACATCCGCGCTGCGTCGTCGCATCGTGCCCCAGTTGTAAGCACAGCCAACGATGTAAATAACTACTGGATTGCGCTCTCAGTGGCATAGCAGGCGCTGTTTTCGGTCTAGCTACCCCCACCATCTACTAGCAGTAGCAGACGCAGCCCATACACTCACTATTATAAAACACACCTTTTTAGTCGCTGATCTGTTAAAATATATAGAGATAAAATATTGCTAACGCATATTAAACTATTTTTAATATTCTTAACTTTATGTCTGTTTAGGTTTCTTGCAGAAAATAACACATGGGAACTCTTAAAAACTACATATTCACTACATTTGATTTTAGATATTTTTATTCAACTGATATTGCTAGTTCCAAATTATGTATAGTAAATTAATAATCATATGGGAAATAATAGCTATTTACATTACAAGTGTAGTAAGAGTGTTTTTACATCACGCAGGTATGTAACGTTTAACGTACAAGATTTTACCTGACCCGACAATATACATGGGGTTACGTACAATATTTTTCATTATCCATTTCACTCATCTTCTAACAGTAACGTTCTTTTACAAACAAAAGCTATGTTAGGGAAATACTTTAAAGCATAACAATAACATTCAAGCGCACAGCTGATTTCTAGCGTTGAACGTCGTTGGCTCCATAGAGGTATATTTTTTTAAGTTAAGCACTCAATGTTATTTAAATGGGTTTCATTACCTCACCGAGTGAGTTTTTTTCAACTTTACATCACTCGAGAAGTAAGGAAGTTGTTAACATCACGCTTGGGATAGAGAAGTTTAACATGGCGGGTTAGGTAAAGGATATAAAATACTATATGTGTAATTTCAAACCCATCATTAATCGAAAACTTATTAGGCCTACACATTAAACATTTCTAAATAAAACAAATCTGTTCAGTTTTGCTGCATATATATGTTTGGCGTAAACACAATACTTTTTCTTTCTCTTTTTTGTGATATTTTTTGTAAGATACATTCCAAGAATAGTAGAAACATACTAGTAATCGTGACACATTCTCATCACACAGTGAAAGAAAAAAGTATTGAGTTTAATTCAAACATAGGTCTGCGACAAAAACCTAACAAAATTGTTCTATTCAGAATACAGAATATGTAATATGTTTTTGTTTAATAAAATAGGTCTGAAATTACAAATATTGTACTGTCTATAATTTCTTGGCAATTATTTATTATTTTACCATGTAAAATTTGGAACTAGCAATATCAGTAGTTGATCTAAAACTTCTAAAATCGAGACTAGTGAATGTTTAGTTTTACAGAATTCAAATAGGTTATTTTATGCAAGAAACAAAACAGACATAAAGCATTGAATAGTAAAAAGAGTTTGACATGCATTAGCAATATTATCTCTATATATTTCAACAGACCGGCAACTAAAAAGGTGCGTTTTATAATTGTGAATGTATGGGCTGCGTCGGCTTCTGCCAGTAGATTGTGGGGGGAGCTAGACCGCATGGCCAACACTGAGCCAGCGATCCATGAGTTGTTTATATCGTTGATTTGCAGAATACATTAATCTAGACTTAAAAGATAGCTCTTAACCACGAATTAGTTCTGTGAAGAACTGTCCAGAATTGTGTTACAGTAAATTCTACAATATGTAGACTTGAAATTATAGCCAATAAAGTGAACCACTGTAATTTTCTGGTTTAAAGGAGGGTGGAGGGGAAAGCTCAAGGGGGAGGGTTCAGGGACTTTTTGGCAAACACACATCTCTTGTGGTTCTATCACATATAACAAATCCAGCTTTCCACTATTGAGTTGCCAAAATTGTCTTTTTTTGCTTTCATACTTATACGGTATGTTACACTAAAAACAAAGAATTTTCCATAGCCTCATAGACTTCGGTATGGGCATGCATAGAGCGATGGCAAGAGGCAATGCTCTCTCCCTAAAAGAACTAAATTGAATTATTAATCAAGCTTAGTTCTTAGTAAGGTTTTAGATAGCAAAAAGTGTCAGAAATAAAAACTATTGGTAAAACTCCCACTTAAAAGTGTTCTGCAAAAAAAATTAAATTAAAATTAAATGACAAATGTCTATTTGAGAGGCAAAGTTAGGACTTACAAGTCCTCTCTACCACTTAACCTCTAAAACATAAATATAGCCCCACCGCAGCAAACCTGCAGACTAAGCGAATTTCCATTGCCTGATTTGATTTTCACTTAAATATGTTTAAAAAAATTGCATTAGGTTTAAGGAGTACCTAGGTTTGCTGCTACAGGGAGGGTATTAAAGTGTATTTTTTAGTAAAATATTAATATCTTAGGATAAAACAAATAAATTTGCCAAGTGTGATCAAAATATATCCATAAAGAAAACACTACAACAGATAACTTATACTCTCCATTAGAATAACATGGGAATTTTAAGTTTACATTTTTTTTAATTTTCTCCGTAACCAATAATTGTACAAAAACACTTCAGCATAATAAGTTATTTGTATTTTTAAGCTTTGCAAAATGGTTTGTAAAGAAATTAAGAAATGTTATGCTTTTTTTATACTCCCTTAGTAGATTTCTCACCCTTATGGAACAGCTGGAGACAATTTTATTGTTAGTTCTGTACAGTGTACTGCAGAGGTCGTGTTTTGTTTACAATTCGTTTCTTGTTAGTTCAGTCATTTTAAACCTTGTTTAACCAAATAATACAATCTAATCATAAACAATAACTTGTCCCGAAGTTATATAACCAAACGGTAAAGCACAAATCAAGAAATTAACCATAAAATAATAGAATCAAAATTTCGTCGACACCATTGCCCAGTGTTACCCTACATGAACTAGACACGAAAAACAAGCTTCAAAATTTACAATGGGATATCAAGTCTACTTGTTTTGGTTAGTCTATGATTTTATAGGTACATAATGATGAAATTAAACTATTAAATTTAATAAATTATTAAAATTATATAAATATTACTTAAATTAAAATAAAAAAACAACTTAAGGATTTGGAAAAATATTTAATGAAGGGCCTAAAATATTTTGCCTATTAATCAATGCTTTCACAAGGCTTGGTCAAGTCGGCAAAATGATGTGATAAGAGAACAAGAGTCACGCTTGCCCTAGGAAACCTCTTCATATTTTATTACCATGTGCTCTGCTAATACAGTACAAAATCATTATTTGAATTTTCAAATTTCAATCTTTTGCTTACCTGAAGTAAACTCATTTTCGAGCTTGGAAAACATTTTTTGTTCTAAGTGTCCCCATAGCTCCCTCAAACCATTAAGATCGCAAGTATAAATATATTGCATGATCTGATCCACAATTTTATCAACCTAAAAATAAATTGTTAGTTTGACAACATTTCAATTGTTCTTTGGTAAACAAGACACAAAAAATACCCTACCCAACATATTATACAAGCACATGTAGCGAATCGCTACAATAGCGCAAGTCACGTGACGACGATGCGCGCGCAGTTGATACGGCAAGCGTTCACGGCGATCTACCAGAGTCATAGTAGTGTAGTGTCTCCGTCTCCGCCAACAGCACATCTTAGTCCGGATAAGTACCTAAATAAGAATATGTCTAGATAGCTTCGTAGGGGTTAGGGAAGGGTGTAGGTTAGGGTAAATAGTAATTAAATTATGTAATTTATTAGCTTCTCGAATGGTCGTGGTCTGGCAATCAATATCACAAATTTAGAATTCAATTTGCTAAGTCTAGTTACCTTTTCACGAATTAGAATAAGTCCATATATATATATTTCTCTGTTCACTATATTACAATAGATACATTAAGAACATAAAAGCTGGCTGTGATAGGCAGCTAAGGTAATATTGTGCACTTTGACGAGTTAGATTAATTCCTTGCAATAGAGTTGGGTTACGACAGGAAATGTGCGTGATTTGGCAGTGGTTAGAGGAAGATATATAGGGCCCAGGTATCTTCATTTACACTCATACTACTCCACATCATCACATATTGGTAGCAGAGCGTCAAGATCCGGCCAAAAATGCAATTTTAACAGAAATAGAATAGATTAAAATGTGTCTCAGACCAGCCAAGTGCTTTGTTCAGACAGGAAATCGACAGGCTACAGGTCGGCACCACGTGGCGACCTGGGACGCATGAGCAGGCATAACTAGGCAAGTTAGGAAATGTGAATCAATATCATTCAGTTTATTTTATTTTCAAAGGAAATTTTAAAAAAATCAATTTTGATGAGAATGTTTTAATTTCAAAGTAGAATAAGGAGAACTTTGATGTTTTTTATTAATATTTTACCAAACCAAGTTGATGAATATATTTAAATGCATTTATGTAATCACTCACGAGTTCGACATCAAGTCTGAAAGGCAGTAATTAAACTAAATATACCGAATGAGTGTTTGATGAATATCTTTATTACCGAAAGCAAAATATTAGGAGTCAAAGTGCACATCAGTATAGTTTACAGGCCACGACCAACAAATCAAAATTTCAAAATTGGGGGGGGAATTTTAAATTCATTTGTATGTCACCTCCCCAACCCCAAAAAGTCATAAATATCCCCAAATTTTTATTTCATAATTTTACAGCTAAAAAGGGTACAGCAGTGAATTAATTTGTAATTTTAAAACGTAGTCTGACACATTTTAGTTGTAACTCATCACCTTAATTTAAGTTGTGTTTAGAATTTAAGTTGTCCAGCAAAGTTTTGATATTTGAGGTGGGCTAGTGAAAGTTGAGAGTCCATGTCATTAATAGGCCAGACAGACTTAGAAGATAACTGGAATGTTAGATAACACATGTTCAAAGATAAAGCGACGATTTAAGGCCAGATTTGTTATGTCCAAGCAAACATACACGATTTAAATATAGGCCTACATTACACACAGTTATTACAGGCTCATCTTAAACAAAAATACAAATAAATATATAAAATAAATATAAAAACAGAAAAACATTTAAAACGTAAAAAAAATATATAATAATAATAAATGTAAAAAAAATGTACTACATAATTAATTAAAAGAAAGCCAAGAGCCTGTGTACAACATTTGCTTGAGAAAATCGTCACTTCACAACATTTCAGTCAATTTAGGCCGTTAATTGACAATGTTGATTCCGTCTGGACCGAGCCAAAACCACAAGGTCAATTCATTGTTCACATCAACAAATTATTATCCTACATAAAATTTGATGTAATTTAGTACAACAATAACACAACAAGCAGTACAGCAGTAGATGTCAGACATAAAATGCATTACAGTTTTAAATTTTACAGTTCACAAAATTTCATTCACTTGCAGCGACCTTGAACATGCAGGCCCGACATTACAATCAAACAAAAGAATTCCGACATACCGACATGCCATTACCCTGCTACACTCTTTCGACCACCTTGATACCGTAATATGATACAAATTCAAATACTCGGCGATTCGCTGACTAAAACGTCTGGAATATTTTGTTAACCGAGAAGGTAGTAAATTAAAATTAGAATACAGTATCGGAATTTCAGGCGCAACAATTGGACAACTAAAGAAACAAATTAAAATCACAAATCCATATTTCAACAGTGAAATACCGTTATTGTTATGGATAGGAACCAATGACATATTCAGCAATACATCAATAACAATGATGACACAACAATATGTATCATTGCTCAGGGTAATCAGGAAACGTTATCTAGGCACCAGGTTGATACTGTTAGGGTTACCATATTTCCCTAGGTCAGAATATACACCACACACAATAGATAAAATTACTCAGTTCAACACATTTTTACACACATTATCAAATCAAAATACCCAACCAATTTTTCTAACACATGTTTTAAATTCAAATAAATATTATTTACACACATATAGGCATTCAAATCGTAGGGATGACATACATTTGAACAATATAGGGAATCAGATCTTAGTCAAACATTTGACACACCAATTGCAGTAAAATACAATCATTAGGCAAAATTCACACCTTTTTAAAAATAATTTCTCTCTTTTTCTTATTAAATTACAATTTGCCCAGCCCAAACTCTTCCCACCTATTTGGTAAAATAGTTGATATTAAAGAAGTTGTTAAGTATTGAATTTTTTTTACTATTCAAATAATAGTAGATCAAGGCAAGATGTCCAATATTTACGAGTGGGAAAATAAACCCACAGGAGTATCATGGATACGAGAATTTGATGCGCAAAGCGCAATTCTACAGTGCGAGAAGTGGGGCTTAACCCCAGCCAAGACACTGGAAGAAAATAGGGTCATTTTAAAGAACGCGGTGACAGCACAGGTGCCAAGTGTACCAGACCCACCAAAACCCACAGAACAAAACACACCCATCTTAGCGGATCAGACGGCGGAAATGATTAGAATCACAGCCCAAGCCATAGGCAATTCAATCGCTCAAGCTTTATCTCAAAACAAACCTGTAACACAATCAACACACACCCACACAAACCCGAGATTAGTTGACGATCTAGCGTCGAAAGCTCCCAATTGCGACGGCACTGACACAAGCAAATTGTTAGCCTTCTTGAAAACGGCCATTCAAATAGAAAAATTAAAGTTAGCCGACGACAAATCAATCACAATAGCCTTGTTACACAAAACAGCAGGGCAATTAAGGGATATTTGGACCATGGCATTACAGGAGAGCTGGGAGGTCAAGGGTAAAACAATTCCTACTATAATTAGTACCTTTCTGCCAGAAAGGGCAAGGCAACAGCTCCTGACTCAAACAGTTTATAGGGTACAGGGTCAATTCGAGTCACTTTCAGATTTCATTATCCAGGTGAAAGAGTCAGCAGAAATCCTAATACCAACAGAATACGACTTACTGGAGGTAATATTGACAGGTATAAACGCGACAAATAGGGCACGTCTTGCAGGGTTCCCGCCGCCGACCAAACTTGATGATTTAATAGCGCTTATCCCAAAATTAGAAGTTGTGAGACAGTTAGAAGAGGGTAGCAACTCGCAATGACGCCGATGGGAAATCAGAACAGAAAATAATAGGAAATTTACACCTCAAAATAGGCAATTCACACCTCAAAATAGGCAATTTACACCTCAACATAGGCAATACACACCACAATACATGCAACAGCCACATGGGCAACCAAGATTCCCACATCGACCACACATGCAGCCAAATACATACTATAGGGCACCAGTGCACAACAGTGCATATCACGGCGCACCGAGGCAGGTCAATGACCCCAGACACTACCGCCCGCCCACCAACCCTACACACCAACACACACCTACACACAATACACAGTTAAACTCCAGAGGAGGCCGATAATTGGCGCTTTCGCACCTCTGACACCTCACAGCGCCTATTCACACACAACAATCAACCAAAACACACACACACATAGCCATAAAAACAAAAATGCTCCAAACGTTCCTAAATTAATATCATGTACAATACCAATTTTTTTCGGCGACATTGAAACAAATGCACTCATAGATACAGGGTCTACGACGTCAATTTGCTCACGATCCTTTTTTGATAGAATCAAAAATAATCACTTAATTACAAAATCAATCACTCCGATCAATCAATTCGCTATTTCAGCCTCAGGCGACAAGGTAATGTTCTCACACATGGCAAAGCTACACTTTAAAATTAGACACTTCTCTTGGACATTCAGTTTCCTAATAGCACCTAAATTGCCAATAAACATTGTATTAGGGTTAGATTTCCTCACAAAAACAAAAGCAATCATCGACGTGGCGAATCACAATGTAACATTTCCATACGGTACAAGACCGGTCATGGCCATATTACACACAGACCAACACGATAGTAATCTACAAGAAGACAAAACTTACACCTTGGGCGATAATTTGACACCAAACCAGATACAACAAATACACAAATTATTACAGTCATTTCCAAACACAGTATCGAAACGATTAGGGCAAACAAATTTGATACACTACGACATAAAATTAAAATCTCAGCAGGTTGTAAGGAGTAGCAGTAGGCCGTACCAATTCGCACCGCCAAAGCTCGAAGCATTACGAAAACAAATCGACGACCTATTACAAAAGGGCGTGATAAGACCATCATCCTCCGAATACAGTAGTCCAGGATTTGTAGTCCCCAAAAAAGGAAACAAAACGCGATTTGTAGTCAATTACAAAAAGCTCAACGACTTGATTAATTTAGAGTCTACGCCAATGCCAACCGTCGAATCAGCATTTCAGTATCTAGGTCAAGCGAAGTGGTATACATTGTTGGATTTGAACAGCGCATACATGCAAATACCGTTGACAGAACAAAGCAAAAAATACACAGCATTCGTCGTCCCATTTGGGGAATTTGAGTTCAACG